AACTGTTCAATGGATTTGGTCCCCTTCAACCAGCTGTAGCTATGCATTGATCACTACAGGATTTCTCATGTTGTTAAAACTGGACACGAAACCTGCTCAGAGCAATAATGTAGTCCTCTCTTCAGTCCAGCTCAACTTCTAGGCAGCCTGAAGATGGAAGGTAACCAGGAGTGTAGCAAATTCTGTATTCCAAAATTTCAAGTTTGTATTTGTAAACAAATAGCTACTGGTATTTAACATTTTGTCCATATGCAGTAAAAATAATTTCTAACATTTATAAAGAAGATAGGTAAGCAGTGAAATAAACACTTCCCAATGATTTATTGTCTCTTGTATTCTTCCTCAAGTCTGGAGCCCTTTCTAGCAGAACTGACCAAAAAAACCCTAAAACCAAAAAGAAACAATCATGAACAGTAGTGGCAGGGCAGGTTTACTTTCTGGGCACCCCTCTCCCCTTTTTTATTGTTGTACAGGGAAGGAAACTCCACAGGGCAGGAACTGTATTTGCCATTTTGTATCTGTTGGGCACATTATTTACTACTTAAAGATAATAAATTTGTTACTGACCTCAACAGCTACAGGCTAATCTGCCACCTAATAATAGGTCTGCTCATGGAGATTATACTCTTCCTCCAAACCAACTTGAACAAAAGTATTCTTCCAAAGCATTTTCTAACATAATACTTTAATAAGAGGTTTTAAAAACAGACTCTCTGCACTCAGCTTCAACTCAGCTTAACCTACATTTACTGTCAGAACTGCAAATACAAAAGCAAAAAACCACTTTGACTGGTTTAGAAAATAATTGCACCACTCTCATTTCCTCAGAACTTGTCTCTCTGAGACCTCCATGACAACACAGCCCATGAGTCCTGCAGACACTTCCTGAAGACACTCATTAACACTACGTAGAAGTGAGAAACCCCAGCTCTCAATTAAATTGCTACAGTTAGAAATTTCACTGCCAACCCATTCAAACCATCTGCAAATCTAAAAAAAAAATTGAGATCTCCTAAATAATAAGAAAATCATGGGGAAAAATTACAATTCTATTTTAATCCACATTCTCCTGCTTACCAGTTTACGAACATAAAGATGACATACTTATTGCTATAGGAGAGCAATACCTAAAATCTGTATCTTACTCCAGGACTTTAATTTTTTGATTTCAAGTCCAGCAGAATTTATTGCTCTGAAGAACTAATCATACACGTGTGTGAAGTCAGGTCAGCTCCAAGAGCAGCCTCTATTTAAGATGCTAGCTGCAGAGTGAATAAAGCTCTCTTCACAAGATACAATGCAAATCTAAAACTAACTGGGGCAACGGATATAAAATACGCCTACACTTCACAGTCATGTCTTCAGCTCAAAATCTGAAGTCACAGGTATGCGAATAGATCAAACATAAGCAAGAGATGATAACATGGCAAAAATAACCAATCTGTACAGTATTTTCAAATTTTACTCTCCTTTTTTCTGTCTGAAAAAAATATCTTATTAACAGTGAAGAGGAAAAGTCTGCCAAGCTTTGAGGCTTACAGTACTTTGAAAAAGTCCAAAATAAATGCACTTTTAATATGACTGACTCAGTTAAAAATCACGAACAAGAAACCAAGTATTAAATAAAACTTTAACTTCCCCATACTTAATTTAAAATTTCTTTTTAGCTCTATCTCCCATGCACAAGTTTAAAGATACCTACAGCATAAACTAACATTCATTCTACATTTCAACATTTTACATCAGCACAAAAACCAAAAGTTCTTTCTGTACCAATTCACAAGATACAAAGAGAAGCAAAACATGAAAAGGAGAAATATTCTACTAAGAATAGGATGCTCTCTGAAACACACTGTACCTTGACTTGTGGAAAAAACAGCCAAACTGCCATGGAAGACTCTAAGGCAGTGGAGTCAGATACTTTCTCAGCAGATGAAGTGCTGAGAAAATCTAAGCTATTTGACATAAATTGCCATCTTTCCTATAATATTTATCCAATATTCAAACATTCAAAATGGAATGTATTTGTTTTCATATGAAAAATTAAAAACTTTGGAATGTTCTTCTCAGCGTAATTTGTAGGTTCTTTCTTGGGACATTTATCTCCCTATTATTTATAAAGGTCAGAACTCAAGAAACAAGAGGTTTTGCTCTGAAAATGAAATTGTTTCCAAATACCTATTTGACATCAAATAGAAAAAATACTACAGAAATCCACCTCCATTTCTTGTGGTACTCATGCACTTAACACGTGCATTTATTTTATTATCCCCAACAAGGACAATGTACGTGAACTTTGTTAATTCTTACATACATAGCACATTTTTAATTTTTAGAATTATAACTATGCATACAAATGCATATATGTTTATATACACATATAAGTGTTTAACTTTTATGAAATATAGAAATTACATAATATATCTATATATTTGAATATAAGGAGAATTTAATGCATTGTATTAATATTATGCACCACATCCTGAAGCCACAAAAACTCCAGTTTCAGTGGAGCAGGGAAGCTTTGATGAGGAAAGATAGGCCTTAAAGTAAGGTTTCAAGCAGAACCTATTACATACTGTCTGTGACCCACAGTCGTAACAAGTTAAAGATGAGAGGGTTATTTTTAACAGCGTTTTAAATAGCTTGTGCTTAGTGCATTTAACAGATCAGTAATAGACGTTGTTCTAGATCAGATTAGAAAAACAAAGTGGCAAATATAAAAACTTTGGTTTCATTCAGAAACAGGCAAGTGGCAGAACTACAAAATCAGCAGTGAAACAAAGGAGGATCACTGAAGTCTTGAGGAATATAAAACTCAACTCCTAAATGAATGAAACTATTACGACAATTTTTAGCTGGGGGGAAAAATCAAAATATTTATTTTGGTTTCATTTTCAATTACTTCTTCCCAGGCTCATGGGTAAAATATCTAATGCTGTGAGCATTGTAGACATTTTAGATGAAACTACTATATATATCTCTATAATGTAGATATTTAAGATTAAACTCCTCTTTCTGTGATGGGAGACAAAATTACTTTTCTGCATGCTTGAGCAGTGCTCAGATGGAACTGCAACCAAAAAATATTAAATATCTGTTTTAGATATAAGTGAAGGAGGGAGGGAACCCACACAGCATTGAAATCCCTAATAACCGAAACATTTTCCAACTGCATGCTTGAGCAGTGCTCAGATGGAACTGCAACCAAAAAATATTAAATATCTGTTTTAGATACAAGTGAAACCCCAAGTATGGAGGGAGCCCACACAGCATTCAAATCCCTAATACCCAAAACATTTTCCAACATTTCCAATAAAAACTTTTGTAAAGCAGGAAGGATTCTGGTGCTATACTTCACATTCTACCAACCATCAAAGTGATCCAGTCTGAACTACAACTTGGATCCCAACACCAAATGAATGGTTTGTCACTTCTAAAATATTTACCCACAGAAAAATCGCCAGCACGTGCCTAGGAAAAACACTTTTCCACCCATACACCTTCTCTGCATCTCGAGATTATGGTCACACAAACCAGCTACCACAAGAGCCAAGGAAAAGCATTAAAAAAAAAAAACAAAAACCCAAACAAACAAACAAAAAAAACCCAACCAAAAAAAACTCCAAACCAAACAACAACAAAAAAACCCCAACCTACCAGGGTAACTGAGACAGGAAACAGTGCTGCTGGCTATGCTGGCTAATGCTATTACAGAAGTAGGAAGAATTCACTTCAGAGGAAGAAGTTACCAAATGAGACTTGGAAGAATTGTCTTCTGAATGCCAAAAATAAGGTCCCTTCACTTGGTCCTTGACATGTTCTCATAAAGACCTTTTATGAGTACTGTAGAAAATAGTAAACATTTATTTGTCCTATCAACACTTCCAGCCACTACCTTTACCTCATGAAGTGATTCCATTCCACAAACATAGATAATTACTTATGTTTACTAACCATCAATCTTGATAGCTATGTTCTAAGAGATTAACCTAGATTTTAATCCCACATAACAATGAGTGGAATTTATACAAATTTACAGCCTTATTCTCCAACTTCTCTCAACTGAAAAGCCAAATTTTAAACAACGTTTAACCATCAATCTTGATAGCTATGTTCTAAGAGATTAACCTAGATTTTAATACCACATAATAATGAGTGGAATTTATACAAATTTACAGCCTTATTTCTCCAACTTCTCTCAACTGAAAAGCCCAATTTAGTAGTAAACAACAAAACACAGACATTTCTTCTTATGTGTAAGCTATACTAAATACTCCACCTGAGGATAAAGTATTATTGAAGTCTTGTTGGCATGACAGCCTTGAAAAATACCATTTATCCACAATGTAATAAGGAACCACCAAGACAACTTTCCTTTTAAATTCTATCTATGCAGGATTTTTCAAAAGCCCCCTGAACTGGAAATTGAATGTAGACGTAAAGTACAGTTATAAAACAAACTACCTTAAAACAAATTTTTTCAGTTGAGCTGCTATATAAAAGCTGAAATACAAAATTCCTTCTAGATATACTTCTATGAAAATATCATTAACTGTTTCAAATACAAATATAATCTAATGCAATAATCCTAAGAGTGCTTTAGAACTGTATGGTTTACTTAATAATTATCTACAAATAAGTATTTCTAAAAATCTCAAATTCCTTTATCAATTCCAATAGTCAGGAAATATAGCAGTATTTACTGTTTTTATTCTATGTCAAGATTCCATCTTCAAGATCTTGCTAATTTACTTATCAAACCTTTTATTGGCAAAATTTTATAGCCATGACAGGAGATTTCTCAGGAATTTGGAGTTATCTGGATACAGGTATTCCAAACATCAGAAAGATGCATAGCTAAGCAACATCAACATTTAAGAAATACAACTACATGCAGATTCAAGGATCTTCGGAACAAATACCATAGTTCTACCCTCATGTGTACTTGTTTTCCTTTTACATACAATAAAAAATAATCTTTAAAAAGAAATCTGTACCTAGGGTTTCCTCTTAGTGCAGCATGATGAAGAGCATTAAACCCGTTGTTGTTGGTGATAGTAACATCTGCTCCAGCTTCTAGGAGTACAGCAAGGATATCGTCACGCTTTTTACTTATTGCATCGTGAAGTGGAGTGTCTCCTTCAGAATCCTAAAACCAAAACCAGCTTACATCAATTTGTGCATGCATCCACATTATAAAGATGTTAAAATATCACTAGGAAAACTGACTGCAGAAACACAAAATAGATCTTCAAGACCTGAGTGCTACTATATTGCAGAGCTCAGAGCAAGCTGCTTCTCATCTTGCTCCAGTGGGAATCCCCACCCTGAGCTCCACCATGGCACAGACACACTACTGCCAGAACTGTGCTTTGTACCCCACTGGACTGAAGACACTGTGGTAGATAATGACTTCTCTGTGCTCCTCATCCAGATGGAGTTGCATGCCCAAATGACAATTTATGAATAACAGGACAGCAACAAAAACTAATGTGACAGAGGGAAGACCAGACAGGCAGAAGGAGGCATGGAATTTTGAGTAATAAATGCAAAGTTTAGCCAGAAATTAACCCTGTAGAAGACAAAATGACAGTGTGAAATTAAATCAGAGGGAAAACAAAATAAAATGTAGTCCAGGTACTAAAAGTAGGGATATCTGTTGTTCTAACTGAAGCATATAATTTTCCATGAAGCAAAAGCCAATGCCACAAAACAATATTAAACTTGTTATGGCTAACACAAGATTGTATTACACAAGGTGCACGACAATACTTGACAGCACAACTGAATAGGCAAAGAATTTATACTTTTAGCTTAATATTTTATTTTTCAAGTATCCCAAATAAGGAAAAAATACTTTTTACTCCTAGAAGCATTTTGTACATTACTTACTCAAGGACTCAAATGGGTTGACTGAACAGAAATGCCCTAGACTAACAGCGAGAAAACATCCATTTAAACTCATTTGCAGCTACATAGGCAAAATCTCCAGATTTATGCTTCCAGTAAAATTCTTGCACTATATAAGTCAGGAAGTCTCTTGTCACCAACACTGACTCAACTGCAAGCTAACACAGAACTGAACATTTCAGCAATGTACTAGTACAAAAACAGATCTCTACAGTGAGAATCAAAACCTGCCAAACAAAAAGTGCCAGAATATGGCACTTGAACCAGTGTGAATCAATTTGCCAGAACTAAATTATGTAGATTTTATTTGGTCTAAATGATCTTATTTCCTGTTTACAAACTAAAGTATGTTTCTGTTTACACAGTGAAGTGGCCACAGTAGTAGGGTGCTGGCCAGTTAAATCCCAGTCGTGCCTCATTCTTACTCCCCTGTGCTTTCATTGACAAAATTAATCACTTACTCATATTTGCACATCACAGTTCCTCAGCACACATGCTGAATCTGAAAGTTCATTTTTTTCAATGGCCAATTATATTTTCCAGATGGAGCATCCTTGCACCATTCTACTGACTTCAACTGAAACAAAATTCTGTAATTTAAACTCAGGCAAATCCACTTTGGCTACCCATAGTTCCTATGTGACTTAAATCACCCTTCACTGGTCTCAGCATATCAGACTCCTTATTATACCTACTGTTCAACAAACACTAAACAGGATCTGGATGGATATAACTGCTCAACATCAGCAAGATCAAGAGAGAACCTTAAGAGTCCCGTAGAAGGAGATAAATAAACAATCACTATGCTAATTAATTTTAAAAAAGTTTTTGCCCATTTCTCTTATGTGGATATACAGCCTACAAAAAAAAACTCGCCATTGACACAGCAAAGCAAGGAGGCAATGTCTTGCTACTGAATATCTTGATTTGCCCAGGCCACTACAGCTTTTTCTGATGCCAGTCTCTTGACATTTACCATTCTCATTTGATTTTCTCAATACAGCTCATACAGCTGCATTCAGCAGTGTGGATACCTGCTTATCTGATAGTGTATTTCCACTTTACCTTCTAAACAGGACATTGCACTTATGCCACTGCTTCCATCACCTTCATTACACATGACATTCCCTATGAAATTATGGTACTTGAGATCCTACACGAGTGCTTTCTAGATAAAAAGCTGAATATTTGAAAGTGAATTGGACTAAATAGTTCTATCAATGATAAATCTATTTTGGGGAAAAAAAAAAAGGCTTCTTTCAACAAAACATTCCACAGTATCATCAGCCTGCTAAACTGTAGCTTGCAGAAGGAGCACAGAGTTGTGGGTTTGATATAGGAAAGTTAACAATTAGAAATAACTACAGATTGTGAAAATACCAATTAGCATCAACTACAGAATAAATCAAGATAATAAACTAGCTGTCAAGAAAACAAACAGACTTAACAGCATTTTTTGTTACAGTTGATCACATGGTTGGGTGAAGGTTGAGGCAGACGACTTTACAATCTCTGCTCCTTTCAGTCCCGTTTACTATAATTTTTCTATCACCTACATGCAGCAAATCACACAATTCAGTAGCTGAAAAGTGACCCTACATTAAAATTTACTTTACCTGGAGACTGGGGTGGCAGCCAAAGTCCAGCAAAGTCTTGACAACTTGCAGATGACCTTTGTTGACAGCAATATGGAGTGGAGTCTGCCTGCGCTTGTTGCGAGCATTCAAATCTGCGCTGCCTCGGTGCAAAACCTCAATCACAGCGCCCTCGTCACCGAAGGCTGCATGATGGACAGCCCTGTCTCCATCCTTGTCCTGAAGTGGAAACATTCATTTAACCTGGTATAGTTCACATTTCCTTTGCATTTAAACAAGATTACTTCAACTAACAACCGCCCATATTTGTTGTAATGATAAAAATGAGACTACCATGACACCATTAAAATACCTAATTGAATAATTGCTCAAACTGCAGCAACAGAGGATGAAGAATCACTTCATATATAAACACACATGCTCTACAACATATGATATTCCACAGCATATAACTACTGCCCTGAATCTTTGTGTGGCTTGTTCATCAAACTCAAATGGCTTCATTTGGGTTCCTACTACAAAACAACCACTGTCAAGAATATATCTAAAACAAAAGAACCAAAAACCCCACAGATGAAATCCAATGCCCAAACAATATTACACTTAGTATCCCAGGCTAGTTCTTCCTGTAACCTGGGAAGTGTTACAGATTCCAAACCATAGTGCAAGACACAAGTATTTCCTTGTTCACAGAATCAGGTTAGTATTTATTAGGATTTATTATGTGTCTTGGTTTTCACTTCATAAACCTTTTCCAAAGGAAATTTGTGACTGATACTGACATTAACTAGAAGCTCTGATTCTGTGTTGATGATTCACAGTGTTAAAACTCTGATTCAGTTTGTTTCAGTTTCACACAAATTGAGAATTAAAATGTGAAAGTCAAATTTGCCAGTTTAGGCTATTTTAATATTCATAGAAGTTGATGGTACAACATGAAACATTTTAAAATATCAATCAAGTGATTTCAGCATTAATGAAATCTGTATACAAAGGACAGAAGTAAAATGGAAGTTTACAGGATGAAATAACTTTCGTAAGCTACTTTCTAGCTGGGTATTTCTGCATAGTTTAATATAACCATGCATTTGTAGGATTCAATTTTGAAAACAGAGAAACACTGAAAATTGTAAAATAAAATCATGACTGATCAAGGGCTCACTGCCTCTCATGAGTTAGCTTAGGTTTCTCATCAATTTGCTTCTTCAGCAACATCTTTCTAAATTATTTATTATATATTGAACACTTCTAAAATATTTTAAACTTCTGCAAAAATTAATAGCTCTTTGCACAAACTGTATTTGCACAATGAGACTAGTTACAGCATTTTAAATGGCAGAAGAAGACTGACCCCCTAATTGTCAAATGCATCTTTTTGAAAATATGGATATGGTTTTCAAGATAGTCAGGGCTCTACATAGCAGCTTCAACAGCTTTTTGGGAAAGATACTTTTATTCCTTCCAAATCAACTCATGCTACCAAATTTCCTTCTCAGATTGCAGGATTCCTTTTCAGGCTCATCTAACATGAACCAACAGTCAAAAGAAGCCAAAGCTTGCCCATTTTGATGGAGAAAGGATCAGAAAGGGGACCTTCTCTATATTTTTCATCTGGTTATAAGGATCATTATGAGGCAAACCTTATCAAGAGTGTGGCAGTAGTCCTAAACTGCTACAAGGCTTGTATTTATAGAGCACTTGGTTTCACAGAGGCATGGTAATTTGCCTTTTTATATTTGCAGTCTGAAAAGTACACCAAGATATTTACGGATGAAACCCCATATAATTATTGAATGTTTGAGTTCTACCATTTTTCAACTTTAAGACAATCACCTGATTTTATTAAGTCTTAATGCACAGAATTCCTACTTTAAGGAGCAGAGGTCAAGATGATGCAGGCCTTTTTTTAGCTCAGCATCAAAACAAATCATCTCAGAAACTAAATCCTACCCAATAGCAACAACTCATCTAGAAAAAGCTAGCAGCTAGTAAATAATCTGTCCTTAAGACTTACATTTACATTTAGATATAGATCTAAATATAAAAAGCACTACATTTCTATACATGCCAACAGTATAATATAATATTGTTAATATAATAAGTGACAACGATTAATGTCTTCAGCCTAGATGGTCACATATTCTTACTATGCAATATCTACAGGGTTTTTGAACTATGCCAATAATCAACTGTTCTCTGACTAAACAGAGGCCACTTGTACTCTATATTAAGACATCAGAGAAAAAACACATCAGGAGACAACAATGAGGATATTCCCAGAAAATGTCATCATGAATGTATATACTCTGAAGTAATGACTGTAAGCGTAAAAATATCCAACTTAGCTACAAAGCAAGGAAAGTAAGGATTTTTATCCATTGCTTGCTTCCATGCCTCAGACCAGAACAGTGAAGTAAATGGACTACATTTCTGCTCTCTTCTTAATGGGATAGCTCTGCTGACCTTTGTATTTTATAAACAATTATGTTTAAAAACATTATATATAGGTATCTATATAAATATTGATAAACAGCTTACATTTTTAAAGCCTGAAAGATATAATTACTACTCTAATAATGCTATGAAAATTATGAATATTTTAATAACCAAGGCAGTTATATGATCAAGTGGGAATACCACCATCCCTTCAGCACAGAGTTATGTGAAGATGGCTATAAAAGTCAAGTAAAATCCCTGACAACTTTTTTATGCTAGTGTAATGGTGCTTCTGAAGCCTGAGCAAACATTAAATGCTTCACAATTCTAGTGCTATCAGATTACCAGGTGTATTGTCTTCAAACTGTTTAAGTAGTGCTTCTACCTGCCTCTTTAATGCTTCTAACCCTCCCTTCAGTCCACCAGATGAACACGGCAGCTCTGAACACCACAGTACAGACAAAAAGCAGTTTAGCCTAATTTTAACAGTATTTACTTTGTACTGCAGTGAAAGCACTGCTTCTAACGTGAAGTTATTTCACAGAAATCAGATCACAGCAAGCATGCATTACATCAATCTAAACCAGCATGAAAGCTTTATAAATTAATGGTGTATCTGTAAATATAAAATAATTTTAATTCCAAGAATTACATTGCCTCATTAATGTTTTAACATTCTGTAACTTCTGTATATCAAATACAATATAATGCTAGGCGCCCACGCATGCAAAGTTATTTTTCTGTGATGCAAACAACAACTGGGTGCACAATTAATTTCTCAGCATCCCACTAGTCTTCAGTTTTTATTCTTAATAAATCAAATTTGACAGATCCTTCTTGTGCCTCTTGCCTTGTGCAAAACGAGAAATGGTTGCAGTATCAGTGCATTGTGTGCAAATAATTGAGTTAAAATCAATTCAAAATGCAGCTATCACAGTATGCTGATAGATAATTCTCAAGAACAATTATTCTCAAACACCTAAACAAGAGGTTTAAACCTAAAGACAAACCTCCATTTTTAGTGAGGTTTAAAAAAAAGGCACTGAAAAAGACACAGTGGCAGTTTCTACCCAAAGACACTACAGCTATCACAGTATGCTGATAGATAATTCTCAAGAACAATTATTCTCAAACACCTAAACAAGAGGTTTAAACCTAAACCCAAACTTCCATTTTTAGTGAGGTTTAAAAAAAAGGCACTGAAAAAGACACAGAGCTGGCAGTTTCTACCCAAAGACAGTATTATCACCTTCTGCTTAAATTTGTTTTAGTTAAGAATTAAAAGATTTTTCCTAACTGAACTTTGTATATATAAGAAGCACAGCAAGCATCTGAAGTTGGAGATGCAGCATCAAAAAACATCTTTTTCCTCTCAATGCCACAGGCAGAGTTCTCATTGCATGCAACTTTGAAATGAAACCAAAGGAAAGAAAAGGGGCTTCATTGCATGCTGGCTTACATAGCTCTATCATGTTAGTTGTTATATTTCATTTAACAAGAAGTGTTAAAGAATTAGATATTGACCCTTTATAATATTGTTAGTAGGAGTCTAATTGGGTACACAGTCACAGTAATAAAGGCAGTTTTTCACTCTGGTATTCAAAAAGAAGGCAAGTCAAGTAGAATTGTCATGCGTGTAACTAAGTTTAAGGACACACAAAGCATATTTTGAAATTTTTAGGTTACCTCTGCTTCTACATCCACGTTCTGTTTCAGAAGCAACTTCAAAATGTCGACATGGCCGTTCTGGCTTGCAGCTTGCATAGCTGTGTGTCCAGCACATTGCCCATTCACCTGGAATGCCAACACTTGCAGGTAAGTTTCAAGACACACACACTCACCTGTGAGGCTGTTTAGCAGTAGAAAACTTAAAGCAACAGCACACATAACACAGAATCAAATGAACTATTTTGACATGCCTTCTTAGCATATACAGTTTGCCTTAGAGCCTCTATATTTCATTTCTATATTAGCTAGACTGAAGGAAAGAGGAACAAGTGGATTTAAAACAATGATACTTGAATTAAAAACATTCATTTCTGGGTGACTCCTGTAAAGGAAACATTTTTGAGAACAAGTCTCAGATTTATACCTGTCCTCTGCTCATTAACTTCCTTGCCAAATTTATGGCAACAACAGGAGGGAATCTGAACAAAAACCCATGTTTTGTAAAATCTTAAGTTAAAAAACAGTGCTCAGAACCAAAGAAATTCAGACTCTTCCACAGCATTACCACTGCTGTAGTGAGAAAGATGGTAACTTCAAAATACGTTCCCTAAAATAACTTCTATAATTACTAAGCACTTTTAGACTTTTCAGTATTAGACAAGTTGCTAAAAGAAATGTCATAGAGAACAGATTAGATTATCTGCCTCATGAGTTAATAAAACAAAACAAACTCACAACAGCAGCAAAAACATCCTGAAAAATCTACCCCCCTTCCTCCATCCCCCTTGAAAAAAGAAGAATTTGAACACCCTTCAGTAATTGTGAAGGTCTGATTCTCTGCACCAACTCCAGCAGCCAGAGGCTGAGAAGTATCTTAATTCATAGCAGACAAAAGACTACAAAATCTGTCCAGCAAGAAAGTATGTACAGCTCTGTGTTCACACAGACCACACACATTTCACAGAACAACAAATGGAAGAAGAGACACTGGAACTAGCTGTATTACTCCTAAGAAGACACACTACCAACTGGCAAGGAATATTCAGAACAGCTGCACTTCCTTTAATACTAAAGGCCCCCCAAAAGAGATACTCCCAAAACAGAACACTCACATCTACATCTGGCCTCTTTAGCAAGTCTTCCACTTTAGCAACATCTCCATTGGCAGCAGCTTTAACCAATTCTTCATTGAGATCTCCAGACTCTTGGGTTTCAAATAATTTTTTCAATAGCTGGGACAATCTCTCTGTAATTGTTAACCAAAGGACAACTAAGATTACAATTCTAATTACACAAGAACAGAAAAAAACCCAGCTACATTTGTTTTGTTTCTAAGGCCATGTACATAGTAATACACAAACTACCATAAAATAGGAGCTGTAAAATGACAGAGTTTGAAATAAGAGCTGCACCCTAGTACCCTTTAGACAGTGGAAACTGCCACATTAGCCACTTCAAAACAAAGATGATTGAACCATAAATAGCTTTTCTTCTGCAAAATACAAAAGGCGGGAACAAGGTAAAAACATGAACTTGTGTATTACTATTACAGACTTTCTAACATCAGGTGTGGCCTGTCTTCTGTGATTTGAAACACTAAGTTGTATTACTCTTCTAGATAGTTTTATGGCCACTGTACTAGGTTCTTTATTGAGAAAACTCACGGCATCTATGCCTCCTTAGGAAAAAATCTAGAAAACTATGCAGAAAGTTTTCTTGGCATTAAAGCAAATATGTGAAGAAGAAAGAATAACTAGCTATGACTAAAAAAAGGAAAAAATCTAGTTTCAATTGAAAACTGCCAACAGAACACAAAACATGCTGGACAGTCTTTCTGCCTTGTTATGAAATAAATGACAGCATATTCAACAAAACTGAAGTGTGATTACATAGACATCAAAAAAACCACTACTGTAATTAGTCACAGGATGTCTGACTAAATTTTAATACAGAAATTTTAAAGAAATAAATAGCCTGAGTTATAATAACCACCTGCCACAGACCCCTCACCTGTGCCTGCTACCTTAAACCACCTATTAAACAAGGAGCTTTCTTGTTACTGCCAGTGACACTCTCTCCATGCTTTAGTCCCTATTTCCATCTGATGTCCCTTCCAACCATTTTGAAATCCCTAGAGTAGACCTCCAAAGACACATCCACACTGTGACCAAACAGAAGCAGCTGATCAATATAACAATATCTCCATATTAACTGCAAGTTTTCCTATCTTTTTTACATAAAACTTCAATTACCCAAACTCCAAGGGTACTGTTAACCTTGCCTACAAACAATGTATTAATATCTAATAATATTTTAATTAACACAATTACTTGCTATATATATGACAATATTACTAGTTATTCTTCAAACTTACCACCAGATGCATTACTTATAGCAGATCCTGCTGATGCCACCTTCGAGACAGCTGCTGGATTATAGGTCCAAGATGTCCCACAAACCTCTACCTTTAAGTCACTGTCTGAATAAATCTGCTGAACCCGACCAACTTTACCTAAGGTCTGAATTAAAGAAAACATTCAGATTTCTAAATCTTTTAATACTATATAAATTTTATGAAGTCCATTGTTTAACAGCACAATCACTAGTACTTTTATATAGGTTTCACTAGGTAAGCAGATTGCTGCACCTGATCAAGTATTACACTGTGTTTCATGAAAACTTAAAAGAAAATCTAGACTGCTGCAGCCTCCAGGTCCATTACCAATACTGTACAGGTACAATACCAATAATAGAGGTACATACCAATAACGTACAGGTACATTACTAGAAATACTGTACAAGCTTGACCATTCTATGAATGCAAACACACAGCTACTCACTGGAAGCATTGCCTCAGCCCACTCTCCATGACCTCTCTGCAGAAGCTTGATTCGCTCCAGGTCGTAACATACTTGAACAAGGTCACCCACTTGGAACTGAGAGGTTCCTCCTTCTGCACCTTGAGCAGCATCTCCACTTCGGACAACGTTGGCCTTGGTGAGAACAGCTGGATTAAATGTCCACCTAAACAATGAATTGTTTAAAGTAAATATTAAATATACAAAGCAAAATATATGTTTAAAAATTATCTGTTGGGTAAGTTTCTGATTGTATGCCTACAAACTTTCTGTGAATGCATACAATAGATACTATGTTTGCTGCTATCCATTTTTTGTCCATAAACTTGCCTCATTAGTTCATAAATTGTGGCTCATTAATTAATTTCAACTATAAGCTTCAGAGACATACATTTGTAAAGGCAATTAAGAAATATCCTGCCTAAGGGAAAGCAAGTTGACAGCAATGTAGAAATCCTGAAAGTAGCTATACTGTTGCTTTATTTTTCCAGAGATAAGAAATAACTGATTGACAAGCAGCAGACCCAAGTTGTCTCACAAGGACTGAAGTGTCAGGAAACAGCATAAGAAGAACACAGAATTTTGGCCCTTCCCCCCAGGTGAAAAGATGCAACATTAAGTTATAACAATACTTGTCAATTAAATGGATGGCCCAGATATACCTCAATTTTCAATCAAACTATCCTATTGGTAGTTTAAATTTTATTGATTTAGTAGGCATCACACTGTTTTGTCAGGGAGAAGACCACAGGACAGAGCACTCCTGTCAGCACTGTCTGCTGACACAACTGCCAGAAGAAAAGCCACTTGCGTCCCTTCAGCTGGGAAAACAGCTTTGTTCTGCATTACTCAGCAATATTAGCAAACAATATCTTGAGGGATATCCTGAATGAACACTATACTGTTAATTCTTTCTGGACAAACTGAACAGGTCAAACTCCATACACAACTGAAGTGATACTCCATTCACCTATTACTTTCTAAAGATAAGCCCAATACTTGCGAGCAAGAAACCATGTGGCCATGTGAGATTCAAACCTCGCTGTACAGCTGGGTTTGAGTCTTGTTAACATGGATGCAGCTAAGCAAAATTCAAACCTAAACTGCTTGCTGGGAGTGTTTTGGCTTCCCCAATACCTCTTATTCTTGGTATGTATTTACAGAACGTAAGATTCCTTTGAATAATAAAAGGCTAGTTGTGGACCATGCCAAGGTGACTCCAGTTGAGACAAGATCCCTGCCGAAATTTGTCACATGTCCTCTAAACTACTTTCCTGAATACCCACAATGAATTGCTATTACCTTGCCTCTTGAAATCATGGGATAGTTTTTAATTAAAAAGGAAGCTACTGCTTAAAACACTGTGTTTTGCAAATAAGATAGTCTAGACTGTAATTTCTTATTTTGAACATAAATTTTTACAAGTGAGAGGCACAGCAAAATTCCTTTTCCCACTAAAGCATCCTCAAAGTGAAGTCCTCATTACACATCTAGGAGGAAATCTCAACAGACAAAAAATGAGAAGAGAAAGCTTCTGACACCAAGTAATCACAATCACTGAAGGCAAGAGAAATTTGTGAGAAGCAATGATGAAGACTATAGAACAAACCTGTTGCCACTTGGATATTGTACTACAATGTCATGGTCCTCATCAATGCCACAAACCGTTCCAGTTGTTGTTAAAGTTTCAAACATGCCATCAGTCCATCCTCCATGACCATGCTGCAAAGACTGCACAATTTCCAAGTCGAGGTCAATGTTCACAAGGTCACCTATTTGCAGCCCACCAGGGTTTCTGTTACCATTTTGCTCACCTGAAAGGGAGTAAGAAAAAAAAAAAGTTTACATCACCATACTAATTTTCCAAGCAACTTAAAGAACTGAAGTGAATTTCTGAGACTCATAGAATTGTTAAGGTTGCAAATAGCAGTGACACTGGCAAATGCTAAATACTTGTGACAAGTTCCACTATGGGCTCTAACTGGGATCTTAAGAGCCATCATATGGTGTTAGACATCTGGACACATAAAAGCTCTGGCATCAATAAAACAACAGTGCTTTTGTACAAGGAGCTAGATTTATTACTATGAGATATATTATCTTTTAGTATTTAAGCCAGTTCTGTAATAATGAACAGCTATGTTTGGCTTTTCAGAAACACAGAACACACCACACAATTTATAACTTAATGAACACTTAAAAGCTCCCTTGCCATCCCCTTGGCACACTGATACCAAATACAATTTAGAAAAGCATGGCAATTTATCATAAGTACATAGAAATGTTACTATTTACATTTCACTAGTAAGGACAGTACTTTTGGATGACATTTAAAAAGGAAAGGGAAAAACAGAGTGAGTATAATTAATACAAATCAATATGAATTTACTTCAGCTTACCTAACACAGGACAATGGTCTCTGTAGAAAGAGCCTCCTTTTGCATCTTGAACACATTTTAGGTCAGACTACAGAGAGAGATTGAGAAAACTTTAGTCCTCAGTGACCGAGTCTCCAGGTCAGTGAAACTAGAACTGAAATATTTAATTAAGAAAGGCTGAAAATTATGTGTACAAAAAACATGTCCCATGATGCACATAATCTCAAATACTTTCCAATCTATCAGCCTTGACATTCTCAAGACTTTAATAACCTTTATAAATATAAGAGGCTATAAAGGATGAGAAATTTTTAGTTCAAAGACAGGAATTAACACAAAGCACTTTTGCATTGTTCTATTTAGTTATTTTTCCTTTTAAAAAAGAATTCTGTGAACACAAGCAAGGAAACATCATTTAATGCCTGCCAGTGCTGCCCACTCTTCCCAACACTTTTTGACAGATCTGTGTTTAACTTGGAAGAAAACTTGCCACTCAGATTCTATAAAATGAAAAGTTCTTAATTAAGAATATGCAGAAGGGTATTACTTCAAAAAAGCCAACAAAATACTACGCTGAGCTAAACATGTCATTTTTAAAGAGAAAAGTTTTAAAGCTTATCCTTCATAAAACTATTTCATATTATCAGAAAGAACCTTCAAGTGTGGTAACCAACTCCTATTCATAAAGCCAGCGGATTTTCCATAATTCTCCTTTCCTTTATATGCAATGCTTAATTCCAAATAGCTATCATCTGCCATTGTTCCTTATGAGCAATGAAATAATTGAACAATAAAATATGAAATAATTCTTACTAAAGGAAGGGCATTTTCGTGTGCAAAATAAGTTGGGAAGGAGACCAGAAACTGCAAAATGTGTCAGAATATTCTACGGCATGGGGGAGGAAGTAGGGGACAGGTGGTGGTAATGATATAATTAACCACAACTAAACATACTTGAACAATTCTTTTACCCCTGCCTGAGATTTACTGACAGACTGTCCTCCTGCAAAAGGATTAAAATGAAAACTCTGAACTCTTCCAAATCATCAAGGCTCTCATAAGCACAACGCAACCCTTGGCAACTGGTAAGCAGAAACAATACAAAATTCAGTGTATGTCCTGGTCTATGAAGAATGTACCATCACTTTGGAAGAATGATGAAGACAGCCAGAGGAAAACAATGAGATTTTAGCCGCTCTTAGATCCCCTGAGAAGGCAGGGAAAGCTTGCTCAGCGCGGCAGCAGCCGGCCTGCGGCAGGATGCTGCCACCCGGTGGGCAGGCGCTGGGCTGGGCTCGGCCGCAGACAAAGGGGCTGAGCGGATCATCCCAGATGGGAAACTCGTTCATTGCCCGAACGAGGGAGGGAATGCGCCCGGGAGCGCCGCCTCTCACCCACTGAACACAAACCCTGCGTGCCAGGCAACAAGCAGCTGTCTGTGCAGGAGACAAGGAGGGGTGCACATGCAAGAGCTGCTGTCACATTCTTCAGAACACTAAGAATAGAGCACAGGAGAGTCCAAAGGCTCTCCTCCCTGCCAGGCAAAATCAGGGTGAAAGATTGCTTGTGTTACAGGAAGTGTTAATGCACTGAGCAGGCTGATGGCTCAAAACCTAGCAGAAGAAACAGAATGTTCATTAAAAGACTAATTACTATTTTGCAGCCGACGTTACTAGGAAGCCTGTTATGGTATCCTAAATTTTACAGAAAAAACCCTGAAACTCAGAAACCTGCGCTTGTATTTTATCCTGCCTGCACTGTGACCTGCACACAGTTTATTTCTGGAGTATAATGATATGCTTGGTTGAAAGGCTAAGTGGTAGATTGGTGTCCAACCTCAGCTTCACAACTGTCTTTCTTTCTCTTACATGATGTAGTCAATGTTATATTGCTAAAGAATAAAACAAGAGTATGTTCCAACTATAGCAGAAAAGCAAGGGAACACATCTTTTTTTAAATTTCTTTCCCAGAAGCCTTCAACAAAATAATGGAGGACCCAAAACACACAAAGATAAAACATTGACGGATATTAAGGTAGCACAAAATAAACTTATATAGTATACAATAGCAGAGTGCCTTTGGCAACATGGCAAACAGCACTACTAAGAAAAGTACTATCAACAAGATAAAGGCCTGCCAATGCCTTAAAATATCATCAAACCCAAACAAGATCCTGCAGTTTTAAGACAGAAAACTGTACTTAGTTGTATTTCAGTGCCACAAAAGCTGGGTAAGCAACTACAATTTTCCTTCTACCACTCGGCTATTATACCTCTCAGAAAAGGAAAATAAGAATTTAAGTAAAAAAATCAGGGGTGATGGTAAGCTCCTGGTCACCCTACTCTGAGGGCTGCATGGCAAGAGGCCCCCCTAGTGCACACGGAGCAAAACCACAAATGGATGGAGCCTGGATGCACCAGGCTTTGCACTCCAGAGAACCCCACCGGGATTTCTAAAAGTTATGAGTCACCCTGAGACTTCAAAATCAATCAAAACAGCAGATTGTTTGGAGATGACACATACAAGTGTAAAGGGGAAAGTACCAAAACAAGGGATGCTAGAATACAAGTTTTAGACTCACAGTGACACCACCAGAAAAAGAAGTAACAACTGTGAGGCTGGGTGTAATGTAAATGCATGGTGGAGATTAACAAATCAGCTTTTCTACAATGATTTGATGGAGAAATCATTTGATAAACCCCACGTAGGATTCTTTCAGGAAACAGAAAAATGAACAAAAAGATTTCTGTCTATTGATCTTGTAGAATTTGTGTATAATTATAGACAGCCCAGATAAGCAGGCAATCAATCAGAACTCAAGGAAAAGTATGCAAATCAGACATTGCACTGCACAACTTGCAGGTCAGTAGTAACAGCTGATGCACATGAGCAATGGGTAATAATGGTCTTTGCCTACAATGGAGAACTTTGCTCTTCTAGCACCCACACTTGAACCTCCAAAAAATCTGCATTCCAGCAGTATGTGATTGTATTACATAGAAATCACAACTTGCCCAGTCTAATAGGAAATATAGTAAATGGACTTTGCTCCTGTTTATTTCCATTGGTATAATTGGATGTTATATCAATTTCATCTTCATAAAACTTCAGAGAATGAGAAAATGTAGAGCAAAGTCAGCAGTGCTGCCAGATGGTGTAAAAGCATCATTATCCCTGACCTTGAGGAGGAAAACAAAGCAGAAGGAGCAGCTGACTACAGAAATAACTTTTAAGTTATTCCAATCAATATGGAATGCCATCCATCAATACCAGGAAGGGAGGATCTACAGACTTGGTAAGAAAACGAGCTGTGCTGCTGAGAAAAAGACAAATGGTTTGATCCAGATGCACTGATGCAGCATCTAACATCAGCAGCAAATACCAGGGAAGAAATTAATACTGATCTTCCAGATACACCAGCAGGAATAGTGCCATAGCTGCATTTGTTCAAGGTAGCACTAGATACACACAGTAAAGGTCACTAAGTCTTTAAACTCACAACAGCTTTTGGCAAGGAAATCAGCCCTTTAAACGCAAACAGAAAAAGTTCAGTGCGTGCTGCTTGTCACCAGATTAAGGCAACAAGAGACTGGATAAATCTGCATGTTTTAGCTAAAGGTTTATAAGAAATGCTGTGTTTCAAGTTTCATGAACTCAAATCTTTCTCAGTTTTGAGAAGCTAGGAAAAGTGAAGCAATAAATAGAGAAGGTAGAAGATAGTAGAGAAAGTGATTGAAATGACAAAAGGTGTGAAGCACAGAAACAGTAATAACAGTTTCTTACAGAGGAAACCAGACCTCAGGCAAATACTGGGTGAATGGCTTGTAATCTTACTATTTATTTTAAGCACTTATAAAAGCTTTTCGTGTGTAACTTTTTTTTTAAAAAGGAAGATTATTTATAGTGTTAACTGACAAGGAAAACCAAGTTGGAAAATTATCAGTAAATACATTTCCACTTAGCGGAAATATTTTTCTTCACAACACAAAGATTGAAACCTTGACTTGATTGAGACTACAGGAGAAATGTGACTACATCAAAAAGAAGCAAAACAAAGTCTGCTGACAAATGTAAATAAATGCTCAAGATAAATGACCAGAGAACTGAAGATCTGACTGACATTACAGATCTGACAGTTTTAACTACAGTGGAAGGTGTATGTTTTGTAACACTCACATACAATGCCTAGCATACTGAGAAATTTACCTTGCTTTTATTTAAAAAAAGGAAGCAGTAACAAGAAATTCTTAAAATCCTCTAGAAAATTTTCAAATAATAACTTCATGTGTAATCCAAATAAAAGTTGATTAACAGACATTAATTATCCATCACCTAGACGCAGGCAATCTCAACTGCCCTTATGCACTCACTATTTGGAATTTGTGGAAAAAAAGTACACCAAAACAGATGGGTTACATATCACTGTGACAATGATGGATGATAACTACAGCTACTTCTTTCAGAGGCTACACAGATGACAGCACAATCCTCCAAAATGAGAAACTAGGAGAGGTTAATCACAGCAAAAAAAAGCAAATGGCACAGAGAAAAGAAATTCTGAAAGAAACAGATTCCTAAATGATGAAATTTATTTAGGACATGCCTGTAGCTGGAACTATTTTCCACAGAAAACCAAGGGAAGTCACCAGCTTTACATCCTCAGCTCACGTGATACAAAGAAACAAAACCCAGCCACAAGTCCCAAAAGCAAAATCACGATCTTCCCACTAACTTTTTAATTCCATATGACTTCTCTTCGTTGAAAAAGGATATGTTCACACATTTTTGAAATGCAAAAATGCCCAAAGCAGGTTATTTGGTTGACAGCTCAGTTTGGCTCAGGACTCTGAATATATATAAGTAAGAAATGTGAGTAGCATAATGAACTATATAAGCCAACAGCAGTTCATTCTTACTGAGGATGTAGCAAGCATTTTATCTGACCTAACAGCATCATAAACACAGACCTCAATTCATGAATTTGTGGCCTGTAGCAACAGAAACCCCCAGACTTAAATGTCAGACTTCACCAAAAAAAACAAACAAATAAAAAAAAAAAAACAAACAACAACAAAACACCAAAGGCAAGATGTTGAGGATGTAGCAAGCATTTTATCTGACCTAACAGCATCATAAACACAGACTTCAATTCATGAATTTGTGGCCTGTAGCAACAGAAACCCCCAGACTTAAATGTCAGACTTCACAAAAAAAAAACAAACAAAAAAAAACAAAACAAAAAAAACCCAAAACACCAAAGGCAAGATGCACTTCTCAGCCACTTCATATGTGAACACAGCAAACACAAAGTATCTGACCAGAAATAAATGCATGTTTTCAGTCAGCACCTGCTGCCCGACCAGCCAAAGCTCATCTCTCCAAAGCTGGCAGGCCAGATAGATTAATTTTGAGGACCAGATGCAGCCTACAAGCTATCAAACAAGAACACTGACTTACAATAATGAGCTGTGTTTCTTTAATCAGCTCCATTAGCATGAACAAGTGTTACCCATTTGCAAGTCAGGGTCTCTTCCCAGCTGTATTTACATGGCTACACACTCTTGAGTATTGTTGATTCCACATTCTCTGGACTTTTAAACCAATTTCCAAGTACCAAAACAAGTTTGCCCCAACTTTATGTGAACTTTCTGACAGTCTCAGCTTGACATAACAGCACATAAATAGTAGTAAACAATAATGAATTGTACACTTAACTTATTAATCAGTTATAAAATCAAGCATTACATTCAAATGACCCTCACAGATATCCAAGAATCCATCCTGTCTGAACTGAGAATTGCATTTTTTGAAAATGCCAAAGATAAAATTAGTGTAGAAATGGATTACAATCAAGTAAGGACTACATACATAGCCTCCAATTATCCTTTCTGTACATCCACCTGTACATATTTTTCTCTATTATCCTAAAAACAACATCTATATATATAGTTTCACACACAGCTTAACAGGCTTTTTTTTAATTAACCAAATATTTCTATTTTTACAAAACTTGTACAAAGGGCCACCGTCACCCCTTCAAATTTAGAGATGCAGTACTTAATGGAGTTATCTAGAAATATTTAACACTTTCAAAGGTGGCAGAAGTTTGGAAACACAGTGTAGCTGATTAAAAAAAAAATTGTTCTTTTATTAATGGAATAACTATTTCAAAGCAGAATATAGCTTATCCCAAATGTACTTTTTTCATGAGACCAGAAGGAATCTTCAATGGTTCCACAGCACTTTTACTATGTAGTCCAAAAATTTTAACATAGCAACTGAAGTCATAACAACAACAAAAATATCAGTTGATGAGTAGCTCATTCTATCCAGATTTTATAACCATTACCTTTCCCTGTATCACAAGAGAGAAGACACCAAACATTGATTTAACGTTATACTACAAAAATACAACATACATTCATTTTTGCCAGTATATTGAGAATTTTCTTTAGAACTGGGGGACACCATGAAGCACATAATTTAATACTGACTTATATTTTACCCCTAGGATCTTAATGCATCAGAAAAGCTGACCTACACTAAATTAGTTTACTCTTTTTAAAAGTAACGCTAAAATATGTATTTGCCACAAAAGTGGTATTTATTTTCATTTTAAGTATAAAAATTAACTGTAATTGAGGCTATGAGGTCAAATAGTCAATTCAAAAAAGTAACTGGTCATTGTTTAACATTTTATTACTGTTACACATTTGACAAGATGACACTTCAATGTTAAATTAACATGGCTTTCCCCCCTCACAATCAAACAAAAATCACGCAGAGAAAATGCTAATTAAGATGTTTTAAGCAGCTGATAATCAAAGTAACCTTTCCTTGACCCACATTAGGATAAGAAAACCCACCAACAGAAGGCACTTAGGCTAGAGCCTGACCCATTTTCTCTCTAAAGCTGAAGAAGTTGTTGGAGAAGCTTCAAAAGGAAACAAAAATTTAGCACTATGGCAAATTAAGGTTGTAATTTAATTCAACACCTTTCCATTTGCAAAAATAAAATTGTTCTCAATAGCATTCCAAGTACTGACAGTAATTCAAAAACTGCAAATCTTGCACTAATCAAAACCAAAATTTGAAGTCAACTGAAGAGTTCAGAAATTGAAGAACAGGGTTTTTAAAAAAGTTTTTAACTACACTTGCAGTTCTTTTCTGAATTTTAATCTAAACACAACAGTAGCACAGAAAGAAAAATGTGTGTGATGCAAATATTTACTGTGGCAGAAAGCAGCTCTTAACTTGTAGTTATCCGCATTTAATAAATTCCCAAATCAGACTTTCTTACTAATACATATGCATGACCCTTACAGCTGGATTCACAATGACCTGACTACCAGCATGCAATCTGACAAAGCATATTACAAAAGCAGGACCATAAAGCACAAGTTATTCTTACTGCCCTTCCCCCATCATGCATTTTACCCTTTGTGTTCTTTTATACTTACCATGCCCTCGAAGCCAACTCTGTAAAGGTTTTTAGCACCATTGTCCCAAAGAACATATGCTGCACTATGTGGACTCGAGGCACTCCAATCTTGGATTTCAGTTACCTATTCAGTTGTGAAAATAAGAAAATGGTTTCTAGAGAAAAGACTCAGAAGCACAATTTGAACTTTAAAATTTACTCATCTCTTCAAAACAATTAATGATATTGTAGTTTTATAAACCTGATACAATTTGTTCTGAAGCTGTTTTGTGCTTGATGCAAGTGTTCCCTGGGTGTGTGAAGACAGCAGTCTGAATATATACTTTGTAGGCCTATTTTTCTTTTGTATATTTGGAGGTTATCTTACCACACAAGCAGAGAAAAAAATCTGAACTGTACTGATATATTCTTACCAGAAGCAGCATTTAACTAAGAAAAACAGGATGAAAACTATTCTAATTGCTTCACTATGTCTGGTTTAACTTGCATTAGCCTGGTGGCTGGGCACTATGTTAAGAGTTTTAGTTCCAGAGCCAGTATGTCTAACAAGAGTACAAAAGGAGAGTGAAAATGTCTTTGCCTGGCATTTCTGGAATCAGGAGGCCATGCACCAAATTCTGAAAACACTTCCATTATTTTAAAAATGGAAAAAAAAAATCAGTTTACAGAATTTACTTTCACTTTTATTTATATTTGTTTAAACAATGTTTACCTGTACATCTGAAAATATATATTAAATGCATATAAATGTTTTTAAATGTGGAAAGGTAGGCAGTAGCTAGTAGAAACACTCTCTCTAATACAAATTTAGTACATAAAGCAGACTGTATAGGATAAGACTCTTATTTTGCAAAGTTTCAGAGATTTCAATGTAGCTTGACATGGGAAGGGGTAAATAATCAACATGAAAAAAGCTGCATTTAAATAACCCTTGTTTTAAGAGATTTAGACTTACTATTTTCTTCCAGTAAAATTCAAAATTAAATCCCTGAAAGTCCTAAGGCTTCCATAAATGTCTAGGATATAAAATAATCTAAACAAGAATATAAAAGAGTCTAAATATCATAGCCAGGAAATTTTCACTCTCCTTTAAATGCAGTTTAAGTGTATTAAAATAAATTCAGCAAAAAAAACCAGATCACCAAGATACAAGGGCATCCAATTCTCAAATTTGGTGATAAAAGTCATAGTGTATTTTACACTGCCTGTTTTAAGTTCATCCTTATAACAAACCTTCATCAGGTCTCAAGGTAAATAGAAATTGTAAAATATATAAACATTATCATTAGTAACTTATCATTCCATACAAATTTCAATAAATACGAATATTTTTACTACAGCACTGCATCAAAAGCACTCCTAGACTGTCCTAAGCCAGTAACATAATAGTCACACCCAAAACTTGCAAAGCTTATTAATTTTAAACTGGAGAAATCCCTACAATCATTATGTGAAAAGCAAAACCCTAGGGTGCCAGCACCGAAAACCAAGAGCAAGAGATACCCAAAAGTGCTGGCCCACAAGCAGTAAGATTACAGAATGCAGAGATGACTAGATAGCTGGTATAAAAACAGCTATCAAGAGTAGCCCTATCTAGTAATGCTGAAATATGCTCAAGATCTTAATGTTGCTACAAGTAAATCTTAGCCATGACAAAAAATTAGTAATTAAAAAAATTCTGTGTTGATATTGTAAAAAATGCAAATTTAAATGTAAAAGAACTGGCTATTGTGTACACCCCTCCTCTTTCCAAATGCTTAAGTATTACAAAACAAGATTAAAAAGTGCCCAGCCAATTAAAATAGGAGCTTTTGTGATTGTATTTTTGCTCTACAATTAAAAAGGCCACTGAGACCATTACATGAGCAAAAAGAGGTGCAGCTTCTTATTTAAACCAGTTTTATTTTTACCTTTCCTCTACGCCCATTGCCACCATCTTGATCTTCCCATTGCCAGTCAACTCCTCGCACCACCCTGGCACCTGCAAAGATTCCTCTTGCTGTAATTTTCTTTGATTTACGTCGAGACTCCAACAATACCCTGAAGTTATTAAAAGAAGAACCCACAAACGTCAACATAATAAAGGAAGTCCAAAACAAATCTTTGGGGATGGGAAGGAGAGCATCTTAAAACAAAAACAACTCACAACTGCAGATTTCAATGCATGAATCACACAAGCAGTATACAAGACAAAGCCCCACAAACTTCCAAAATTGAATGCTTATAATTAGCTTTTCTAATTTTAACAATTTTTCTCCAGACTTTCTACTACCAGCATTCATCTTGTAAATGCTTACATATAGATCTGCACTTATATTATTAAAATCATTAAAGTACATGAGAGACATATAAACACATCTCTGTTTCTCTCAGATGCACTCTAAGCCAATACTTCTGCTCCACAACTGCCCTGTTACTTTTATTCAGAATTGTGCTACTAAGAGCATCTCTTTTTCCTCTTCCCTCAGTTTTTCTACATGTTGCTTATAGCATCTCTTGGCAAATTTAAGTCAGTATAGTAGCATCCATTTTTCCAGTCATATCATGTGTTTTTTTTCCAAAGCAAACCTCTTCTTTTCCTTCTGACTTCAACAGGACTGAAGTAGATAAGCTTAAACAGAACAGTTCACGGTTATTTAACTAGAAATAATCATCTCAAAAGCCATCAATTTTCATGTAACAAGGCTTCTTACTTCATGCCAGGAACATGTTGACAGACAAAAGAATTTTTCAGCTGACATTCAGAATGTTTCCTGACCACTTCAGGAAAATTCTCAGCATCTTGCTAACTTTTAACATCCAGCAGATGGCACACAAGGAAAAAGTTCAACTGTTACAATCAATGCAAAGACCACACGAAAATATTGGCTGTTTTTTTCCTAAGAAACATAAAAGTTATCAAAAACACAAAGTAATCTTATTTAGAGAAGCCTCTTAAGAGGTTCTCAACACCTACAAATCTGAGACAAAAACCTACATACGTTCCTTCATTATGCCACCCATACAATATCCCAGACCAAATATTAAGAGCTTATGCTTTCCTTCATCAAAATGTTCTTACATGTCTCTTGCCATTTTTCCTGTGAGACATCCCTCAATTCAACAGTACTGTTTTGCCCTTTTCTCCTCCCTAAAATAATTAACTTCCATCGTTTTTTCTCAGCTAAGCTTGATCCAATAGAAACATTTCCTTGGCAGAAGAAGCTGCTTTCTAGATAAGAGCGCAGTGAGAGTAAACAAAGAAAGGAAGACAGTGACAAGATGCAAAAAATTTCCAGCAATATTTTACACAGTGTACAATCTATCTTCAAAACTAAAACTTGTACTGCATTCACCATAACTAACCTCTTAAAATTACAAAGGAAACTTCAGCTTAAGAAAGAAAAAAAGTCTGGCAAGCATTCTCAAAAGCAACAAGACTTCAAAAAAACAAATAAATAGAAAACCTATGTATTTTGTCACCTATTCTACTTTAACTACATTAAGGCAGCATCTCAAAGTCCAACTTCTAAGTCTTGCTCTGTATTCAATATTGCAATTGAGAGCAAGTTTATGATACCCATTTGGTACCTAAAGCTACTCACATAAGCCTCCAAAAAAAAAAAAAAAAAAAAAACAACAAAGAGTTCTTATGTTTTGATTAAGCCACTGACTTGGGCATCTGAGCCACAGTTAAAACCTTTAAGCAAGCACTTGAGAAAGTAAACACAGACCCTGTAAGACATAATTTGAGACCTCAGGCTGTGTGCTCCAGCCACCTCCCTTAACTGTAAAAGAGCTGATTAAAGCACACTACTGATTTACAGCATACTTGTAAATCTAACTTCTCCAAGAAGATATAAATGTTGTCTTACACATGTCACATTCAAATGAGTACCATTTTTGAAAAAAAGATTCTGAGTATTTAATGAAAGACCATTCAGGAAACATCACAGAGGTGACACCACTGTGTGTAGCCTTTACACAGTTTTTTTCCATAGCTCTCCAAGTATTTAGCAGCAGGCAAATATCACCGTTCTCACTTAACTTGTAGATAAATCATGACAAAGAGGGGCTTTGGACTGAGACAAGTTATTTAAAGTCAAGAACACCTATACAAGAACACACTAAATGCAATTTTGTTCAGACTTCTCCACTGAGAGATAACAATAGATGCTTAAGAACCCGAAAACCAAGGCAAGAGTAGAATAAGCCTTCATAGCATCTTTTCTCTGCATCCTGTAGTGAGCAGTTCAAGTCCAAGTCCAGATCATTCTGGTTTCCATAACCTTCAAAGAGGGTATTTTTCCCTTAGTCTGTCCACACCATCACTGAATCTAATTAAATGCTCACATTCAGAATTCACTGACAAATCTTTTGTGATTACACATAGTATAAAGGTAATTGCCTTTGTTTTAAAGGCAGTATGAGAACACAAAAACTAGGAAAGCTAATTAAATGCTCACATTCAGAATTCACTGACAAATCTTTTGTGATTACACATAGAATAAGCAAAACTGAATAATCATATCCCTAACTTTTAAAGGCAGTATGAGAACACAGAAACTAGGAAACCCTCAAGGAGAATAAGCAAAACGGAATAATCATATCCCTAACTTTTTTCTGTACTCTGTTCTTCCTAAAATTTCCACGTTTTCCAAGATTCAAAGACTTATCCTAACTACCTGTCTCCCAGAAACAGAATCTAACCTCAAGCCACTCTCTTACCTAATCCAAATTTCAGTAAGCAAATGTTCAGTTTCAAAGTTAACCACAAATACCTGTTTCTACTTGATTTCACGAGGAAAAAAGTTAGGTTTTACCTTTCACTTCCTGGTGTGGTAATTCTGTAAAAACGATGCCTCAAGTGATGCTTGTCCCCATGATAGCAAACAGTGCACAAGTCATAATTTGTGCACTCAGCACATTTCCATCGGATGCCAATGATAGGCTGCTGTCGACAAGTATCACACATAGTCCCATCATGCTTGATACCTATGGAAGGAAAACAAAAAAGAAAAAACCTAAAAACTTTGCTGCATCATTACACAGACTTCTGTTGCACATCATTATAATTTGAAACCATATACTAGAAATTTAACAATAAAGAAAGGCTGCTGCTTATATCCTATCAGCCTATATCACTGAGGGGAAAAGACAGAATATTTCAGGAACAGAGTGCCAACCAGACATACAAGGCAAAGTCCATTATCTTCTCTCAGCTTAAAAAGCTGAGAACTCTATGTCTGCTTCCTTCAATTGATACAAAGGAGAGAAGTAAAATGAGAAATCTTTTAACTACAAGTTAAAGGGTCAAAAATGGGTTTATCAAAATACACAGGGCAATCTAGAATTTTACCTCTGGAGTATAGGTATTAACACACATCATATCACAAAGGCTACTGAGCTCAACTGTCTGTGGCAGCCTAAAAATTACCAATTTGATTTAGACATTTTATACACTGGAAAATTAAAGTGCTTGCTTCTATTCTTTTTTATACAGGAAAAAAAATTAAGCTCTCTTGGATAGATGCCAGTAGCTTCATGAAAATCTGTTACCATTTTTGAAGCATTTTACTGTTATTCTGGTTTTGTTTCTAAAAAGAACATGACAGAGACAAGCCAGATGTAACCCACCAGCATGAGCTCTGCCAAGCCTTCCACAAAAATTGATTCCAAGACTTTAGCCTTACAATTGTGCCAAGCTACAGCAGAGTGAAAATGATCGGTCACAGAGTTTCCCATTTTAAATACAGTGAACAGCCACAAAGGTTAGTTTAAAAAAAATCTAATTCTGCTCTTTGGAAAAAATTGAGCAATAGAAGAGAGAAGCACTAGCATTCAGTCTGTAGCACTAGGCAGAAACAATCACTAAGACATTATCATATTATTGCAAAAGTTCCATACTGTTGTCTCCTTATCGCAAAAGTTTCATACCTTCTTGGTGTTTTCTCGCCAGCAGCTCCTCAGAGCACTGACTCTTTTTTCTTCACAAAGTGGCCAATTGACTCCAGCTCCTTCTCAACCAGCCAACCCACTCTTTTATAGCACTTTTCTTCTCACTGGTCACAACTGTGGCCTGTCAAAGTCAGGCCTGTTCCTAATCTTTGGTAATTGGCCCTTCTGCAACTCCTTCGGGGTGAGGTTACTTTTTGCACTACCTTTATTTCCTTATATTCTATCCCCCTACACTAAGAAGCTAGAGTAACACAGAATTTTCCCAGTCACTTCCCCTTAAAAAAATCCCAGATCAATTTGAAATTAAGCGAGGAAAAAGAATGGATTTTGCTCCCTCCAGCAGGCATGCTTTCAGAAATGAATGCCAAATTCACTATAAAGCTATTAGTCACTTACACCCAACAGCTGAGCCATTTGTAGCAAAGAAAAATCAACAGTTGGAAAGGCAAAACTGAAGGAAATGCCTTCTTGTTTGATCATTTCACAAAAATACAAAATAGCTGAGGTTGGCAGTAATGTTTGGAAATTGTCTCTTCCAACAACCACTGCTCAAAGCAGGGTAAACTAGAGCTGGCTGCCCAGGACCATATCCAGTCAAGGTTTTGAGCATCACCAAGAACAGACTCCACAACACAGCATATGCAACCATCTCTAGGGGAAAAAAAATAAAAAAGTTTCTTCTGTTTCAGTAGAAATTCCTGTATTTCAATTTGTGCCCATCGTCTCTTGCCTTGTCACATGACAGCACTGAAAAGAGCCTGGCTCCATGCTCTGTACAACATTCATCGGGTATTTATATACACTCTCAAGATCTCCCTGAGCCTTCTCGTCTCCAGACTAAGCACCACCTCATTCTGGTCCTGTACCAGACGCCTTTAAGATTCTTTGCAACACATTTGCAGCCCTTCGCTTGAATCTCAGTATGACCACATCCCTCTTGCTCTAGGGATTGTATTGGAGCATTTTACTATTCTGTTGGTTTCAAAGCCGAAGTCTTCAAGAGTGGATGCACTAAAAGCACCGAGATACCTTGTTCCCGTGTTTTTGTCACCTTGTTTAAAAAGACTAACTAGTTACAGTGCTTGGGGTTGAGAGGTAGTGTTTGTTTTGGTGTTATTTCTAACTGATTGCTAAATTTGTATTTCACATAGAAACGGAAGTTACACATCTCTTGATTATATTCTTTTTTAATGCCTGCTGAACTTTTGGGAAGGCATTTAGCCAAGAAATAAATTTATTCTAGATGTGAAGGGACTAAGAAATTGGGTGCTGTAGAATTCTTCCACTTGACCAAACAGCAGGAAAAACAGCAAAAGAGAGGTATAATGAGGAATCATGTGATACCGAATAGGTCATCTCACTGTAAACTCAAATAAAAACGAAACACTTTTTGACAGTGAGGCAAAAGCAGCTATGCAAAACTCAGCAAAATTTCTTTAGGAAATATCAAGAAAAAGATTGTACAAAGATATTTGACTCAAGTAATTTTCACTGACCACAGCGTCTGGGACTTAAAAAAAGAACAGTGCGTGTCTGTACTTGAAGTGTCAGATCTAAAGGGACATTTCTGTGCCTCATGGAAACACCATCCTGATAGATATGGCCTTTCTTCATCCATTCCCTGACACATGATTCCAGCAGCAACATCCACTTCAGCGCATGCCTCACCTGACCATGCTGCTCCATTCTTTCCATTATACAAGCAAAAGGTTTTTGCAGAGCTGGGATGCAAACTGCATCAAGAAACTTATCAGGCTGGAAAACAGCCAGGAGGAAAAAGATTTCAGCTGAACTGGTTTCCCAATCCCATTCCTTGAGGTGCTGCACAACACTACTGCCATGAGAAATAAAGAACTGCAGGGCAGGAGCAGGTAAGTAATCCTGTTACAGAATGTCTAACCACTGCATCAGAGATCTGGAGGAAGAAGCAAATTTGTATGCTTCTGGTGACAGTGGACTAAGAGACCATGAACTTTATCTGCTAAAAAAAAAAAAGGGTAAAACAAGGTGCTACTACTGATCACATAACGTGATACTAAACTCTTATTCATGGTCATAATACAAACAAAATTATTTAGATCAATAATATGTGCTAAAGAAGATTGAAAGAATTTAAGTTCAACTAGATATTATAGGTACACAACGGTAGTAGGTTGACCTTACCTGGCTGTCAGGTGTCCACCCAACCAGTCTACCTTCTCTACAGGACAATGAGTGAAAACAAAATGAAACAGCTTATGTCAAGCTAAAAGTGAAATTATTTACCAAACACCATCACAGGCAAAAGAGATTTGACTTCGGGAAAATTTATAGCTAATTAAAAAAAAAAAGAGGATGGTGAGGAAAACTAAAATACCTCCTCCCTATACTTTACCATCTTCGCAGAGACAACTGCATTCCTCCATTCCAAACTCCTCTACCTCCCTGCTTCTTCCCAGGGTAAATTAAAATCACATAATCTTTTTGGCTGGTAAAAGCCCTGAAGACCCTCAAGTCCAGCCATTAACTTAACACCACCGAGATCACCACTAAACCACATCCCTAAGCACCATGCCTACACATCTTCTAAATACTTGCAGGGATGGTTATTCAACCACTCCTCCAGGCTGCCTGTTCCAGTGTTTGACAACCCTTTTGGTGCAGATGGGGAACAGAGGGCCAGTCCATAACAGCTCCTCACACTTTTCCCCTGCCCCATCACGGGTTGTCTCCACAAGCTTCATTCCATCAGGAAAATGCTCTTTGAGCATGGGCTCCCCCATGTGCTGCACTGAGGGTCCCTGATCCACTGTGGCCCTCCATGGGTGGCATGAGGACAACTAGCATCACTGAGGTGTCCATCTGCTGGTTAACCATCCACACACCAAAACTCAGCACTGAGGACCTGGCACTACAGATACTCAGGGGGAAGGAAGGAGACATTACGTCCAGTGTTTCAAACTAGCTTGGTTCTACCCCAGTGGACTGAAGGCTCATCAGCCCTGAGATAATGTATTTCAATTTACTTTTACCAAAAAGCAAAGCAGTTTATGCACTACCAAATCATCCATCACGTAAATCAAAGCACAGTGCATAAGAACGACCAGGAGACTGCATCAAGTGTAGGCTCTGGAGCCAAACTAAAATCCTGACCCAAAAGCAAAATCTGCAACATAAACTCTTCTCCTCTTCAAGGCTGTTTAAGAAAGCTGAGAAGTTTATATTAGGAAAGAAAGCCTTCATTAAACTTCTGGCATAAATTAAAGTGCCATAAAAACTTCAAAATTCAAACAGCAGCCTACAGCTGACCAGCTGTGCACCAAAAGCTCTAGCTCTCTAAAAAGAGAGCTAGAGCACTTTAGCTCTCCAAACTGAGATAAGGAAAAAATTAAACTTCTAAATATTCTCCAAAATTTCCTAGAACAAGACTATTTCATAATGAAACAGGTTTTGTGTCATACACACTTTAAAAAGCAAAACAAACCAGGTAATGAGAAGGGGACTTTCACCATGCCTAGTTACTTTCAAATCACTGCCATTTCCTTATGTCCCTTCACCTTTAGTACACCATAAAATCCAATATTCCCGATGTCCACTTGTCATTAATGCTTTTTACTATTTGAAATTCATACTAGTTTTCTACCTTAATGCCATACCTTATTTTCACTTATCTCTTCCCAAATCCTCCCTGGATTACCTAGCCCACCATTCCTTTGTCACCACTCATTTATGCATCAATTTCACAGCCCTTCACAAGTTTTTGAAACAAATGCTCATTCTTACAGCTGTGAAAGGAAATAAAAGTGGTGTTGCTCAAATTGCTATTTGAATTTGTTACAAATGAGTTTTTTGTACTGAAGATAATTAGATGACAATATACAGCTATCCAATAAAAGGATTTTAATAGTAAAATCAGATGTACAAGGGGTATCCACATTCACTCACTGTTAAACAGAAGACACCAGTAGCGATTTCACTTCTCCATACAAACAAAATCTGGTTTCCAATGGAGTCATTACTCTCTACAGAACTCTAATGAACTAAAATCCCTTCATACCATAATGACAATACTACCATCAGGTAAGGGATACCATAAACAACTTTAAAAAATTATTTATATACACACCATTTTAAAAAGCAGTAACAATGTTTTGTTCTTCCTATTCCTTCACCCCAGACCATTTTTTCATTAGGGCCAGACTTCAGGTAAATTGGAAACAAAAAATTCTTAGAGATAACCAGTTAGATTCTGAAAAACTGCATGAAAACTCCAATGAGTGTTCCCACAAAAATAACTCATCTACTAAATACACCATCTGGAAGTAGCCAGCTGACCAATTATTATTACAGATACAAAATGCCAGACTTGCTAAAGCATGTGTCCTATCTGGTAAGGGAATCACAAGATACACAGGAAGGGAGAGGATTATCGTGTAGGAGACATGGGGGAAGGGCAGGGAGAACAAAGAACACGTTTATTTAAAAAACCAGGCCTCCCAGGTACCACTACTCAGGAAGCTATTATTTTTTTTAATTTGTGAGGGCTCCTACAGGTATTTACAAATAGCCACTAAAAAAATCGTGACTAAGACAACTTGCCGTAAATTACATTTGATGTTCTAAAAGCAAGAACAAATAAACAAATACACAGGATAAATCATAGGTGCTCTGTCTTTTAAAATGTCTTAACATGTTTGGCTTCATGATCAATTATGCCCCTTTTAAGGTACAAAAACCTATTAATACACTCATCTTCCGCAGATAACACCCAGGTTTTCAGTATTACCAGAATACAGCACGTTATGCTTTCCACACTGCACTGATGCACACTCCAGCTGGGGGAGAATTCTGTATCAAGATTTCCATTTCCTGACTCCAGCCCCTCTGCCACCTCCCCTTATTCAAACACAATTTGGTAAATTCTTTCAGCAGGAAAATAATATTGTTACTTTGAACCAACTGTATAAAAAAGGAAATGAATGACAAATGAATTCTGCTCTATAGAAAGCCAATCTTCAGAAAGAGAATAAACAGAAAAAGTTTCTGTATTGCTCATGGCTATTATGTGAACATTGCCAGATGTGCTCTCTACAAAGTTGCTACTTTTCTGGCCTTTAGCTCAGGTAAAAGGCTGCCTTCCTTTCTAAATAAAAAGCTTGGATTTTTAACTTTCTTGCTTCTCTTCAGCAACTCAGAAAATGACTCCTGTTTCTTTTCCAGAACACTATCAAAAAAGAGGGACACTCAAGACTCACAGATCCTGGCAAAAGTCTACTTCACAGAAAAAACAGGATTTATCTGCAAGTAATTGAGCAACCACACTGCAGTACTGACGCATCACATCTGACCACTTTCTCCATTGAGGAGCCAGCTAAGCAGGACCTACCTGAAGTTTTACTTCTATGTGAAATTTTGATTCTTTTCAAATCCTTGGTTTACCAATCCCTCTCAAGTGCTCTGTCTCACTTAAAGCAATGTGGGAAATGTAAATATGACCATGCCAAAGGGCAGCTAATACAGCAAGCCTGGTGGACATAACCAAAACAACCCCAAACTTTGTATCACAAGTCCCTCATGACCCAGATGACTACATCTGGAGCAAAGAGTTTATAAGACATTCTTCATGTAAATGAGCTTTTATTTTAAGAAGATCACCCTAGTATCTTAGCATTAAAGCTATTAAAGTTTTCTAAGATGTTAACATAGTGTCACAATGCTGGTAGCAGCCTACAACCATTGAAAGACAAGAACAGTTTATCTTTTAAGTTTGTGAAGCATAGTTGTGGCATACACATATGCACATACATGAATCAAACTCAACCTGCCTTTTTTTTTAATAGAATGACCTTCAAACATTACTTTTATAACACTCTAAGTTCCTGATGCACCACTACTGCTCCTGGCTGCACAGACCTCAAACTTAAAGAGGAACTCCGCCTGCAAGCATCACTTCTAAGAACTTACAATCACGACTAGTTTTGAATACATAATAGAAAGAATTCCCAGCAATAATTAATTTTTATTTTTACTGTTTTACTTTTTTACTTATTTTCCCTATAAACTTACATCGTGACTGTAAATTCATGAACCAGAGAATTTTTTTCATTTTAAACTACAAGAGCCAGGACACACACTCCACTAAGTATCATCAAACAAAAAGCCACTCCATGCTTTATAACATTTCCTTGCTCAACATCATCATTAATGCTACCACAAGAAATTCCTATTACCTATTCCCCCTTACATTAATGTCCCTAGAGAAGTATCAAACTATGATCCAGAGTCACTTACTCTAAACAATGGATAGTCACCACGATGAAAAAAAACCCAAATAATTACCAAAAGATGAAGAAGAGAAGTGACTTAGACAAGACTACAAAGTGAGTCAGCAGTAAACGGAGGACTTCAGTCCAAACTGACAGCACCTTAACTCTATTAACTTTGCTCTTTTCTTACAACTGCTTTACAGAATTCTACTCTTCCTACCTCCAGGGAATAAAGACCTCAAAAGTAACTCCCTCTAACAGAAAGCAACCCTGGGTACTTCCATGAGGATGAGGATGATTGCCAGAAACCTCAGGAAGAGAAATACCATTTTGCTAAGCCTGACAACAGCAATGTGTGTGACACAATATACACAGTTTTATCTAAAACAGAACTTAGAATTTTAATACAAAAGTATAAACAAAAATTAAAATCAAAAGTAATAAAGCAAAAATAGAAATAAAAACATGACAGTTTTAAAACTGAATATTAAGTCTAGGCTTCCAGATACAGTTAAGAGGACACCATCTGCTTGCAAATATGTCAGGCAGGACCAGAACAATGAGCATTTGAGGCTCATATGCAACATTTATGCACATGCTTCAGTTCTAAGCAGAAGCAAGTCCCACTGGTTTCTACAGGACATCAAACATAGGTAAAAGTTTCTAAGCATAAACATCTACAAGACAAGGACTGACAACTTGAAAGACTCCTTTTTCTTGTTTTAAAGTCCATTGCAAAAGGATTTTCAAAAAAACCATCATCATCACACCAGCAGACAGGAAGATACACAGTCACTGAGAAATTAAATCCATCTCAAAGGGTAACCATGCAATATTTGGGGTCCCTTCCTTAGCAAAGTCTATTGTAATTAGAATGATTTCCAGGATTCTGCCTCCTCAAAAGCCTTTTAGCTTCAACTACTGCTATAATTTTCCTTGCTGTAACACTACACGTAGCTGGCACAAAGATGGTCTCTCCATCACGTTCCAAATGAAAGACACATTACAAAAGAGCACAGCTCAAGTGCCTCAACAAATCAGTGCAAACACCTCATTACTGAGGCAATCCTAACCGGCCCAAAAGTCACCTCATGATATTTCTGATGAAACTTAACAATATCTATATTTTTCTGTGTGAGTTTTCACTGTAAAAACAGGTGCTCAAATGAACATCTCCCTGCAGTGTTTGCAACAGTAACACTGCCGCATAATGTCAGTGCAGATCAGATTCCATTGTCCAAAATGACAGGATTTAAAGCATAAATATCAAGCAGCTAAGTAATTAAAAGAATGAACTCATGCACTTCTTTTCCTCCCAGCACCTCTACTATTTTAGAGCAGCTCTGGCAATACAGATAAAAGGCAACGTGCAGATTACGGGCACAAAACCACAGTATTTCAAGCCTTCAGTGTAACCTTTAGAAAAAAGGTAGTACACATCTCTTCTGCAATTATCCCTGTATTAGGATGACCGCCAGTATTTTACAAAACTGCTCTGAAATACAAATTCAAGAAGTGGGGATCGGGGTGTGCAAGCAAAGCCAAACCTTGATGTATCACCCTCTCGTCTCCCTCCCTCCACTCCTCCCCAGCACAACAGGAGCCTGCTGGCTGTGGCAGACCACTTCTGCTTTGCCTTCCCCAATTTAGCAGTCCCGGGACAACTTCTGTCCCCGCGCTGCAGATTTGTCCCAAGTTTGCGTGTACACACACACAGAGACACACGGACCGCACAGCCAGACACCCACGCGGGGAGGGGGAGGGTGCCTGACTCCCCCCGCCCAAATCCCAGGCAAAGCCGCACCTCTAAAGGGGCAGGAAGGGCGCAGCCCGCTCCCCGGGACGGGACCCCCGCACCGCCCCCGGCCCCAGCGCCGTGCGGGCGGAGGCGCCTCCGCTCCCTCCCCGCTCACCGGTGGGCGCGCTGTCGAGGATGCGGAGGTCGTAGGCCCCGGAGCAGCGGTAGTTGGCGGCCGTGCCGTTGTCCCACACCACGACCACCTCCTCGGGGCTCTCGAAGCTGCGCACGGTGCCCACATGGCCCTCGCCGCCATCCTGCTTCCCCCACTTCCAGTCCGGGCCGCGGACCACCCGGGCCCCGACTCCTTCCACCATCACCCGGTTGTTCCGCGAGCTGCTCATCCCGGCGGCGGAGCCCTGGGGCGGACGGAGGGGGCGCGCAGCCCGCAGCCGGCGGAGGGGGACCCCGATGGGGGCGGCTACCTCGGGCGCCGGGCGGGAATCTCCGTCCGGCTCTTCTCCTTGCTTGCTTGCTCGGTCGCTCGCTCGCTCGGCGCCGCTCGCCCGGCCCGGCCCGGCCCGGCCCCGGGGCGGTGCCCGCGGGAAGCGCCGGGAGCCCAGGAGCGAACCGGGGCTGGTTATCCCTGCTGGGAGGGCTGCCCAAGGCTTCTCCGGGTCCCCAGCCCGGCCATTCCTTCTGGAATCGCGGCGTGCTGCCGCCGAGGGCTGTGGCGCCGCCGCGCCCGGCCCTGAGGTGATGATGCGCTGGCGAACCGCCCGCCTCCTTGTCCCTCCACAAGGTGCTCCAGTGGCAGAGGGATTATCAATTCAATTGCACCAACTAAGCCATGAGCGATCTACCTTAGTAAGCCATATAATTATTGAATGGTTTGGGTTGGAAATGTCCTTGATGATCATCTGGTTCCAACCCCCCTGCCGTGGGCAGGGACACCTTCCAATAGACCAGGTTGTTCAAATCCTCATCCAACGCAACCTTGAACACTTCCAGTGCCCCAAATGGGGCATTTATGAGTCTACAATTCCATGATTCTAATCTGTGTACTGTTTTTCTCATTTTCGATTCACTTTTGTGTTCTCACATCCCATTTTGCTTTTCAAACCGTGGATGTGATAGTGTGCTACCGAGGTGAGGTCGGTGGGACCATACTTTTGTACCCAGGAGCATTTTAAGCTGGTGTTCAGGTGCTCCAGTCTGCCAAAGGGAGGAATCAGTACCTCCATCTGCCCTCCCCGCCTCAGAAGATCCTTCACAGGAGATGGACCTGCTCAAACTTTGAGCCAATACCTGCAATGCAGTTCTTCATAAACCACCCTCTTCCTTAGCACTCTCATGATGCTAATGGATTTCCTTTAACTCCACACAACCTTGCTAATCTTTTATAGAATGTGTTTCTTCACTTCAAAAATAGTCCTCCATTGCTTTTGTCTCTCCTTTTTTTTTTATGTCACCTTTTTAAAAGCATCTATCCTAAAGGACAGACAAATCTGAAACAGACAAAAGAAAACGATTTCTTAGTCAACAGGGATATGGCTGAAAAAAGGCAGCCATATGTTCTGGGTATTTTTGCTGGTTTTGTGCTTTCTTCCACCTTTGTGGTTATTAATCCAGCTAGAAGAGTTTATGAGGTGATCTCCTGACTTCTTTTGTGTAGTTTTTTACAAAAGGTATAACACAGCAGAATAATATGAACATGTAACCACCAGGCCACCACATTCCTCACATAATTTATTCCTTCTTAACCCCTGCTAAGGCCAAAGAATGTTACCTCAAACACCATGTTATGTCCTGACAATGGGCAATCCCAAGCAGTGTCCATGGAAACCTCAAAGCCCAACAGATACCACGCAGTTTCTAGGCAGTGTGGGTTTTACGGCAGATGCTTCTCCTTGTACAGAAGCTACTCACAGGGTGTACTAGCTTATTACATTGGTACGTGGCAGAATTTTCGAGAAATTCTGGAGGTTTCTTGATGTATCAAGGGATATAGCTGGGCTCTTGTGGGAATGATTTGCCCATCTGCCACATTCTACTTTTTTGTGCTTTGATAGTTATGGACAAGTACAAGGTTCACACATGCCTAGAGGATAACCCAGAGCATGTTTTTCTATTACTCTCTGGTACTGTTAGATTAAAAAAAAGCTTTTTATAATCAGGAAAGCTATGCCAGAAATAACTAATAAAGTCTGAGATCAGAATTAGTTCTCCTGGAGAAAATCTGAGAAGTTCATTCCTTACATTAATTTTTCCACAAAAGCTATATCCTAAATTACAGACCTAAAGAGAATCTGCTGCTGCAGTTCAGCAGCAATGCATGTGGGTAGATATTATCCCAGAGCTTTTTCTCTCCCAGTAATCCTTCTGACAACTCATGCTCTGTCTATTACAATAACCCCTGCCTCTCCTCCTACTCACCTGCTTTTTCTATCAGATGATTTACTTGCAAAAAAAAAAAAAAAAAAAAGAATCTTTAAATATGCCTGGATCATTTCAGAGGTGCCTTAGACACACAAGAACATGGAGCACACACATGGAACCCAGTATCTACTGGACTGAATGAGACTGCTCCCTCAGTAGGTGACAGTGATTTTCTTTACCAGCTCAAAATACAGAGCCTTGTACTACTTATATTTGAGTGGTAGAAAATAAAGGTTGGATAGACTGGTCTGATGCATTCACTTGCCAATGAGTACATGACTGATTTCTGCACTCTAATCTCCTGTCATTTCTACTCCTATATGGCCACAAAGTTGTGGAAGGTACAAAGTTGTCATTGGCTACACGATTCAGTTTTCCAGAATCCCAAATATTTTACTGTATTATCTCTTTGAATCATACTTTATATTCCATATTCTGGTTACCTGTTTAACCAACTAGTAAAGAAAAAAAGATATTTAGCTCTTAAATATTTTATTTGAATTAACCTTCAAAATAAGAAGTAAATACTGTTTTCAGATGGAGATTTAAAAAGTGACATCAGGGCATAGAAAAAGGATATAGCTTTGGGAAAAGATTTTCAAGTTAAGTTGGACAGTTAATCATCCTCTCTTGATATTTTTCTGGTATCAGCCACAAGAATATAAAACAGCATTAGTACTAGAATAATAAGCAAGAGAATCTAATTCTGAGTAGGGACCAGAAGACTATTGGAGGCTCACAGAAGGGTGTAGATAGAAGAATCAGAATGTTAGCAAGAGGAAGAAGAGATCTTTGAATAAAAAGCTGAACTAAGATAAGAAATAAAACAAGCAAAAGTATAAACAAAATAGAGATTCCATAGGAAGTTGGATCCAAAAACAAGATAGAGATTCCATAGGAAGTTGGATCCAATTAACATATTGTGACAAGAAAAGCGACAGACACCACATTTTCAGATATGTGCCAGCATTTTCTTTAGAAACAGGGAAATTAGCCACAGTAACACCTTAAGGAAAGAATTCATACTCATTTTTCAGCTGAAAAAAACCCTTGTTGGCTTAAGGCCTTTTGTGAGGCAGGAGTTATCTCCTTGGCTGGCTGGTTGTGCAGAATAAATGCACACAGATTTGCAGCTGTCTCTAACAAGCCTCTGGTCCCTCAATAGGACTGTTTTCTTCTCCTCATGTATGCTGAGAGCTTCTCATATCACCTAAATTTGCATTTGCCCTTAATTGCACAGAACAGCCATTTTACAGGAAAGAAGAGAAGGGAGAAGGAAAGAAGAGGAGAGGAGAGGATTGAGCCCTGAGGAGCACTGCTGATGACCAGTAACCAGCCAGATGTGACCTCATTCACCACAACCACATGAGCCCTGTCCTTCATCCAGTTCTTCACCCATTCATGAACCAGCTCATCCCATGTTTCGATGTCCAAAAGGATGATGTGAGGGACAATATCAAAAGCCTTACTAAAATCCAGAAAAACTGCATTCAGTGTCTTCCCTTCAGTCACGAGATGTGTGAGTGTATGATAATCAAATTGGTTAAACAGGACTGTCCCTTGTGAATCCATGTGCTCACACTGCAGATAATGTAACCTATCAGTCCTATTTTCCTATTTTGGGGGAAAATGCCATCTAAACCCTCACTACTAGAGTTAGCAGGCAATCTATTTCTTTGCTTTTCAGGTCTACAATCTAAAAATTATACTTATAACACCCCTCAAACCTAGAACCAGTAAAAGAATGGGACTCTGGGAGTTTTTCCACAATTCAGACTGGCAGAGCAGTAATGCCTTAAGCTGCTGCATCAAGAGCAAGCAGGGCTCATCTGCAAAAAGCTTATTTACAGTGTTGCTGGCCCTGTGAGACAGTGCTTGCTTTGAACACCTCAGGTAGTCGTGACAGAGCAGTTGAATCACAGGCTGGAGGAAGGGAATCCACAGTGCTTTAGGCAAACTCTTTCTAATTGCAAAGACTCATTCATATTCATCCAGTGCAGGAGTTTGGATGCACAAAATGAGCCAATGAACAAGTTCTCTTCTGGCTACCCAAAATTATGTATATTGCTGAGTCAATCCTCCAGCTGGTGATTATAGTCTTCCTCACCACTTTCTGCCATATTGGAGCAATCCAGCAAGGAGCCAGGAGAGAAGACCTCTGGTTTGTGCAGAATTCAGCCCTGTCACCTCCTTGGTTTTGTGGGAAAGCAAACACTTTTGTGAGAATGACTTTCTGTGAAAGCAGCTGCCACCCTTCTGAAGGGTAGGGTAGCTCTCAAGACAACTCTCACAGAGTCACAGGAAATAGGACTTTGGAGAACATCCAGCCCATGCTCCTGCCCATCAAAGCCATAGAGAAAGCTGCTTGTCCAAACTCTGCCTGGCTGCCGTTCAGATCTGCAAAATGTCATGCTCCAGCAGGAAATTCTAATATAAGTATTTGCCTGGATTGAAGAGAGGCTTTGATGGAGTTTTTTCTGGACTGTCTTGTTTGATTAAAGCTGAACTTGCAGTGTAGTATCTGGAACACATAATGGAAACAGACCACAGAAAGGGAACTGTGCTATCTGGAACACAGAAAGGGGGCTGTGCCTTTTGCAGGAAAGAATTCTATAGGAAAGTCTTGATTTTATAAATTTCAGAAGAAAAAAAATCTCAACTTCTTGGAAAGATAATTTTTAACTTTAGAGTTGCAAGGTTTTGTTTACTATCTTGCACAAATCCTGAGTTCTTAGAAATTGTCATATGAAGGATATATATAGCTGCCTGTGAGTTGAGGAAGAACATCTAGTTTGGACACAATAAGCAGATTGCAGTTTTCTTTTTAAATTACAGAGGTAGAGCTTATTAATTTATACTGATCTGAATAAAAAAATTCGGTTTCCTTAGTTCAAGATCCTATTTTAGAACAAGCATGTTTTTTTAGTCCTCCTCCTGAAAACTGAAAGCATTCTAGGTTTTAATTTTCTGATTTTGTCCAAAAGGGATTTTATACCACAGTTCTTTCCTGTGGACAAAAGTACTAGAGAACAAAATGAGGAAAAAGGAAGCAACTGTCTTGCTTTTATTGAAATTATCTATTCTTCTCTTTGTAACTAACTCAAGTAAC